TAAAGTGGGAATTCTGGTTTACAATATATATCTCCCAGCAGAAACTTCTCAAGCATTTTCTTTAATGATCACAATAGCCCTGTATGAATAATAGGTATTTACTATTCTCATTTTACAGAAAGGAAGCTGATACTTGGACTTGGAAAAGTTGAGTAATTCCTCAAGGTTAGGCACCTAATAAAAGGGAGACATACGATGCAGAACTATATAAAATACAAAAAAAAAATTTTTTTAATTAAGTTCAAAATGTGTGTCCCAAACTGTCCCATCTTACTTCTGCCCTTAGTGTTATCCAGAGGAAAGAAAAACTTAGAACTGAGAAGGATATTCATAAATTGGATAATCTTCTTGCAAATAATTGAGGCTTGGCCACATATATTGACTCAGTTTCTATGTTGGTGCTGCACCTGCTGAATTGAACATTATATTTCCTCACCCAAATATTGCTGTGTCTTGAGAAAAATACACAATCCTAGAAAACATTTCGTAGAAGACTACCAAAATAAATTAGGGAACTACTGGACTTTGATATACAGTTAAATTTTTTTAAGTTATTCTCTTTCATTCTAAAAAATGGAGAGCACGTATTATTGAAGGGGCTAAAATCATAAAGTACACATTGTATTAGGTATAAGTGAGCTGGAGAACTGTTCACCAGATGCTGGTTGAAATAGCTAACTCCTTAAAGCTTAAATAAATCATTTAAAAATGGATAGAAGGCTGTGTCACTTCATTATAAAATGTGATAGTACAGCACAAAATAGTTGATTCAGACAAACCAGACTTGAATGTGTAGCTTCCCACTTTACCTCAGTTTCCTCACCTGAAAAATAGAACCACCTTGTATGGCTATTTTAAGGATGAAAATTAATGATCAGTTCTGCATACGTTTTAGGGACTCAATAAATTGTAACTAGATTATCATTACTAGTACTAGTAATTGTCATTATTCCCTTCTGTTAGTAGTAGCCTACTTTGGGAACTTATTACTTTATAAGGTTGGAAAATATCAGTGTAAATGTTTTACACGTGGCTGTTTAAGGAAGTACAGATGTTTTGGTACCTTCTGACCTCATAAGATCAGTCCTTTGGAGAGCAGTTGTCACTAACCCATCTTTCAGAGCCCGTATTATGCCTTGCCTGGACCTAAGGAAGCCAACAATCTGGCCTGGAAGGGCATTTCTTATACACTTATGCATTTCATCAGTAATAGGTTCTGTGGCACTGCATTTTTAAAATTTACTCTCAAACTTGCTGGCCTTTGCAAATCAAAACTCAAGACCCGCAGTTCAGAGCAAGTGATGTTCATTGTGTGGTTCACATTTGGAACTCTGGATGTTTTCCTTCAGTCTTTGTGAATTAGCACGTGTGGTGTCTCTCTCCTTCCGGCAGATGTAAAAGCCCTTTGTTTACCTCAGTTTACCTGAGTTATAGCTACTCCAGAAGATGACCATCTGTCCCTTTGAGGCACACCTAGCATCCCTTGAACAGAGTATGGTATATGACCTCAAACATGCCCTCCAAGTTTGGTGAAAATTTTCCCAGTTGTTTTCTTCTGATGCAGCAGCAGTGACAGAAAATTTTATTTTTATGGGTTTGGCCTACACTTTTGTGCCTTTTCTTGTGATGCAGCAGCAGTGACAGAAAATTTTATTTTTATGGGTTTGGCCTACACTTTTGTGCCTTGTAAATTATTTTCTCATGCTAATCTAGATGGAAAGCCAATCTCAATCTCTCTGAAAGACTAATGATTTAATTCCACTACAATAACTGAGCCTTTCTTTTCTTTTTATTGTGAGCATATTGTCTCTTACAGAGAATGAACATTGGTTTACGGGCATTCTTGGTCATCGCTGACAGCTTGCAGCAGAAAGACGGTGAACCTCCCATGCCTGTTACAGGAGCCGTTCTCCCTTCAGGAAATACTTTGAGAGTAAAGAAAACGTATTTGAGTAAGACGCTTACTGAAGAGGAAGCCAAAATGATAGGTGGGTGTATCANTATACATATATACATTATATATATGTACGTACAAAATACATATATGTACATATATAAAATATATATACTATACAGACACATTTGTCTTCCATGGTAGGTCATTGACACTGTATTTAATGAGAACACTAAAAAAAAACAGCTAAAATACATTTTTGTTCATCTTAAAATTTATAATGTGAAATCATTTTGTTTATTTTACTAAAAAAAATCCACACATATATTTCAGAGAATAATTTGAAGTTATTAAAATCCTAACCCAAAATGAGAATCATTCTTTACTCATGTAATCACTAATGATGGTGAATTTTCTTATGTTAACCAGAAACTTAAAAATTCAAAACTAAAATTTTACATTTCCATGTTATTTTAACTCTTCTGGAAAATGTTTCCCATTGAAGTATTAGAATTCCTAGTAATTGAATTTAAATGATTATTTGGTGAACTCCTACTAAGTTCAAGGCACTGTTTCAAGAGCTGCACAGATAGACATTGAGTCAGACCCAGCCCTCGGCTCAAGGAAGTCATTGACTTCCTTGTATCTTCAGTAAAAAATATCATAAATGATGAATAAACTCTGATATCATTCTTTGATAGATTTAGTCAAAGTTGAAACTATAATGCATGTTTTTCAGGAATGTCCTTATATTACTCTCAAGTACGAAAAGCTGTGGACAACATTTTAAGGCACCTTGACAAAGAAGTAGGAAGGTGTATGATGCTGACTAACGTCCAGATGTTGAACAAAGAACCTGAAGACATGATCACGTGAGTACAGTGAGGACTAAGTTATCAATGAAGTATTAATTAACCAAAGGATACAGCTAGAGATTCTTCTCATTTATTCTTCCCATTTATTCTGTATTTTGTCATCTTAGAGTTCTAAGAAGAGTTAATTAAGGATAGTAAAAGCAAAAACAAAAAAACTTTGGAAATATTTGATTAACTATAAAAATAAGGTCATACCTCAGATTGATCTATTTTGTTTATTTTTGATGTATCAGTAAGTCAGTAAGTTAGAAAATGGGGCTCATGACTCATTTACTGGCCCACATTTTTCAAAAGTAAAATGGGGCTCATGACTCATTTACTGGCCCACATTTTTGTTCCCAAGCTCTATCACAACCCTTGTGATATAATGACATCTTCAATTTACAGACATTCCATCTTTATAAATCTCAAGTTTACTTATTTCTAGCAATAGCTCCTACTTGATAGTTTCTATGCAATTGTGCCATAGATTTAAGAAAACATTT